TTGGTTTAATTTGGTGGAACGGCAACGACCTCGTCGGCAGGAACGGAATCACGCCCAATGATTCTACGTGGCGCTATGAGGCTGCAAATCCCGACAGACTCGGTACGCAGGCGCGCATCCTTGGCAACGTTAAACTGTTAGCCGAATGCAAGGAGATCTCCGACGAGCTCTGCTGTATATGTGGAATATCTTCTTATCTTTTTGAGTTGCCTTCGTTTGTCGATATTTTCTGGGCAGAAATCAACGACATCATTGAGAGTCTCGGCATACACCGATTCCAGCCTGACAATCTGGTTTACCAATCCGATAAAGTTGATCAATGGCATATGCGAAAGACGCAGGAGAACATCGATCGCTTCGTGAACTATGTGACCTCGATTGTCAAATTGTCGTACCATGTGAACGTCGTTGAAGCTTCCCGAGAGGGAATTGCCGCGCTCAACAGGGTGAGAAGATTTAAATACAGTTGGGATTCCTCAGCGACAGTCAAAATACCGGAATCGTATTTACAACTTATCAATGAATTTGTTGAACAGCGAAACGCGCGAATGCAACAGACGTTGGGGAAGAGCAGGCAGTTTACTGTCGAGGAAGTACAAGCGTACAGCCCCTTTGAGACGAATGACGTGTCAGTCGAAGAGCTCAAGGCCTCCGTTAACCTGGAAGGCGAAGATCCTCAAGATGTGTTGCAGTTTGTCAATGTTGTACCTGTTATTGAGCTACCGGAGGAACAGCCCGCATTGGACGAGCCGATGGATGACGTTGCGACAGCCGACGTAAAAGTCGAGCCGAAGGTTGAGGAAACCGACGCGGACGTTGAGATGCCCGATAGCTATACAGGCGCAACCGACGAAGTACCTGGGCCTGATACTGGTATCGCAGGCGTAAATGCCTTGCCGACAGCACCAGAACCTGATCCACAGATGGCGAAGATCGAGGCCGAGGTTCTTGATGTTTTGGCTGATGATGAAACGACTGTTGAAGAAGGTGCAACCGGAGATGTTCCTATGATCCCTACGGACGCGGACCAACCCGCAGAGGGTCAAGCGTCTTCATCTGACCCGAGACCACCATTGCCGCGATTGCGAGGCAAAGGGCAGGGACAAGGCACCCCTTCGGTCGCTCCCGTAACGGGGAGCTTTCTCGCACCTGAGAACAACGACAACCCCGACTTGAAATTTTCTGGAAAAGGGAAGGGCGTTCTCGTTCGCGAGACGAAGCCTAACCCCGAGTACAAAAATATGCAGGTCGAGGTTGAAGAGGTTCTCGGAAGGTATCCTTACCCGGATCACCTACTCAAGGCCATCGGGAATGGCAACATCCAACTCCTCGAGGATGAGCTGGGCCGCGACGCCAAGCAGTACGTGCTGTACCACGTTACTGGCCATAGGTATTATTATGTATATGAGGATTATCATCATGGGCCTTGGGAGTGGTGCTGCTCCTGGCCACCTCATGTTCGTCGCGGTATTTCTGGTCTTCTTCGTGGACACGTCCCAGACGTCAGTATTTATGATCCGGCGTGTTATTTGCCAATTTACAAACTACTAGATTTGGCGAAGGCCAAATTCCCTGATTATGCTGATTCCATGAATGTTTTTGAGTTGATTTCGATGGCTATTTATGACAACAAAGATCGTTTCGAATTTCAATGCGTGTACGACTCTCGTGTGAACGAGCAGCTCGAACTTTTCGCCGCCCCCGTCAAGATCCGATGTGGACAAGGCCACACTGACGACGTTCTCGAGACGCGATCAAATGAAGTGCTAGCAGTACTAATCTACTGCCGTCCTGACCATGTACACAGGTACAATGCTCGTTTGACAGCGCACGGGAACCGCGATATACCACCTCGGCTTTACCACCGAACGCATGAAGGTGCTGCGCGATCCATTATTGCGAGCGGGCTCATTCCCGGCGGTGGAGCCGGTGGACCGAAAAGCAAAGGCAATTCCTTCTTTTCAACACAACCTCTGGGAAACCAGAAGGCGATATCTGGTGTTCGTGCTGACCGACCAGTGGAGATTTGTTTTTCAACACCGGATGTGATTGAAGCAGGAGTTGATCTTTTCCTCACAAATTCTGGCGCGGTGATTACCAGCCATCACGTTCCGAATACGTGTATTCTATTTGCAACTCGAGCCCGCGCAAATGCGGAGCCAGAAGTTTTCTATTCGAGGCCGCAGGCATTGGATCCTTCGAACATTGAGGTCGGTGTTCCGCAAGATGATGTGACATTGGTCCCGGGAAAAGTGTCGGAAGTACGCACCATTTTGGAAGGTACAAGCGACACCACTCCCGAAGAACGCACAGCTAGCAGCAGTGCCGCAAAGAAGGAAGAGATGGAGGCAAATCGCAATACAGCTGTACCACAGATCGAGAGTGGATATTTTCTACATCTTCGAACTTTCAGCTGCGATAAATGTACGACACTTTCCTTAGCAGGAATGGCATCTTGTCATCGATGCGGAGTAGTATTTCAGAGCAATACAACAGATGGACCGATTTCAAAGTTTATGCGACTTCAGATGAGGCGTGCAAAGGTGCTACAAGAGCAGGGGGGCGTGCCCAAGAACATGACCGCAACAAGCATGCTTGACAGCATTGCCGCGCAGGACCTACAGTCTGGACGACCTCCAGCTCGTGGCAGCCCGTCAGTTGACAGTCAGATTATTCTTGCAGCTCGCAGTCGCCTTCGCAAAGCATTGAAATCAGGGTATGAGAATGTATTCGATCGATTCAACCGCGACGACGTCTTCGCCACCTCCTTAACCGGAGAAGGATGCACAGCGTTTGATGCAGCGCAAGAAGACTTGTTTGCGTCACTGCAATTACCGGCACCCACGAGATCAGCGAAGCAGAGATCAAAAGGGAAGTCGGTTGTCAGTGATTTGGATCGACTGGACAGGGTTGACCTCGCCAAGCTCGCGTATATTCGATGCGGTGTTGACAACCTACATACCTGTTTCAAGCAAGGCGTCGACGAGAACTTTCTGATCAGTTATCGCCGAGAGTTTATGTCACTCCGACAATACGCCGCCGTAATTGGCGATAGCCGAGATGAGATCAAGATCCAGGGCTTTATCCCCACGACGGACGTCTATGGCGATATTCATTCAATTCGTATTCCTCGTGGAGACACGACAGGCATTTACAAGATTTTGAGTGAGTTTGCAGAGCAGAATGAAAATTATGCAAACATTCAATATCAGAGAAACGCGCAACAGTCTGCAAATGTGCAGGGACGCGATCGTGGACAGCCAGTTTCACAGATGGGCTTCATGAACATCGAACAGCGCATGGCCACGCCTTATCCCAAGTTTGCCGATTGTGGCCAGGACATGTCGTCTGACGAGATTCGACGGCTTGAAGAGATCTTGCTTGAGTTTGGGCAGCGTGGAGCACCATCTCCTCAAGGACCTGTAACAAGGCCCCCGTTGACGCGGAAGCGATCGCAGATGTACATGGAGACTATTGGAGATGCAGACAAACGACCGAGGCTGCAGTGGAGGAGGAGAGAAGACCGAGATCAATCTGGTCGTATTGCAACTTGGGTTGACAACCGGACTCCACCGCCAGGCGTGCCTCAGCCGCCAGCTCCCGTAACAGGGACGCATACCTCGTCGGTATTCAGTATGAATGCACCTCCTGCTCAAGGACAAGTTTCAGGAAAGGGTGACTCCTCTAAACAGGATGTCGGTGAACGGAGAGATGTTTCTGGAAAGGGCAAAGGCCAAGGCAGTTCTTCGGCAGCAGGCTCAGCCGCTCCCGCAAAAGGGACGCCGCGTGGTTCTGTCGCCCGAGCAATTTCCCAGAGCCGTGTCCTTCCACCTAAACGTGGCAACATCCCCAAGGACCTCTTGGGTCCCCCAACTTCACCGCCACCGTTACCAGCACCCAACAACCCACCTGCAACTGGCCTTTCACCAATCTCCAAGCCACGTCCAGCAAAACCTTCACCTCCGAAGGTCCCACCACCAAAGGTGCCTCCTCCAAAGGTTCCTCCACCGAAAGTGCCACCCAATACAGCCAGTGGCATTCCGGTACATACAAGGCCGACAGATTTCAATCTCACGCCGAAGCCGCCGCCGCTTACAGACCTTTACAGTCGGTTGCAACCTTCCGTAAAAGGAAAGGGCAAGGATAAGCAGCAGGTGAGTGTTCGAGGAGGACCTTATGCTCCACAGCAATGGAATGTACAAAACGTGCCACCGCCGCCATTGCCACCCGGAACTTCATCCGCTTCGGCATCATCGTCACATAATGCACCCTTAACTGGGCCGCCGACTTCCAGCATTCGTGGAACTATTGATCGACCATTGGAACCCTTTGATTTTCCTGGAGTACAATGGCAACGCGATGACCCATGGGGCGAGAACTATTGGCCCAATCACATGGAATTGTGGGAGTGGTTGAGGCAGGGATGGCATGACGAGACGGAGCGTTTTGGAATACAATTTCTTTAAGCAGATGTTGAATAGCTACCATAAATGGTATGCCTTGCAGCTTATAAGTGTTGAGATAAAGATCAACTTCTGACGCGCTGTGAGATGATGTTTCACTTCATTGTCTCACTTCCCAATGCATCCATAACAGGATTGCCATAGTCGGAGAGTGAACTTTTAATCAATGCTTAACACTAACCTGGGCCTAGCATGTTTAACCACATGCCGAGTGAGGCGAAAACTGTACATTAGGGTAGCTACGTTCTCCTTGTATAGTGCATGCACAAGCTTGATGAGGGATTTCTAATATGATTCCTTCGTCGCTAGAATTTGATCCTCCCCGAGATTTTCCCTACGGGTAGCTCCTTGTAAAGGGGGGTGTTGAAATTCACCTCATCCCCATGGACCCCGTAGCGTTGACTCTCAAGGTAGAGCAAAAGGTAGCGCTTACCGGGCTAGCAGGGTTAGCTAGGTAGTTAGTACTGTTAGAGCTGATCCTGTAAAATACACCAACAAATCGAAGGCCTCCCACAAGCTCCTGGTCCTGGTTCCCAGGTGTGGTCGGGCTTTGCTTATTTATCTCCTCGGGCTTTGGCATTGTCGAGCTGGACTTCTGCTGCCGCGTGGAGACGAAGTCGGCCGACGCCGCGTGGAGGGGCCGAAAAAGACGAGCCGTGCGACCCCTCGGTGCGACCGGCCATGAGCCGTGCGAGGGCCATCCATGGAGTAAACTCATCCCTTCAAGGGCCGTATCATTTGCCGCCCCAATGGGCAGATCACGTTGAGAACCGGGACGCGCGTATTGGGGGGGGTGGGAACCCTCGAAAGTGAAGACACGAACGACACGAACGCACGAAAGACAGTGGTGTCATCAGGCTCCAGGGTGTGGTGTTTTCATCTGCTCTGAAACAGCACCCGGAGGCAGACATGTCTCTGAACATGGAGACTTCAAAGTGGGAGGTGGTGACCTGCATAGTCGGGTGCTGGAAGACATTGTGACATTGGGTGTTGCGATTCGTTTTTTGGTTTTCCAAAGAAGCCTGTGACCATCTCCCGCACCCGTTGTTCTTCGCCCGCCAAGATGGGGCCCCATGCCTATACACGTCTGTGAATCAATGGTGAAAGGTGGGCAAAGTCCAGTACAGTACAACTGCCAAGGACTCCCGGTTTCCAGGACAACTCCCAACTGATTGGCCACCCGAGGTTCGAAAACGGTGTCACAGAGGATGAAGAAGTCCGTGCTCCTTGGCTTCGGGGCTTCAGCTCGATCGCTTCGGTCCGCGGCGGAGCTTGATGAAGCTCGACCGCGGACAGTGCTTTGGTTCGGATGGCGTTCGGATGGCGTTCGGACAGCAGGCTCGGTCACCGGCGACGTCTCAGCTGGTTTTGCGACGAGGCCTTTGTGGACTTAGGTCGGTTGCACCACCCCTGGTGGTGAAGAAGCCCATCGACGATCCCCCTATGCTGAAGGCTGCCGATAGGAGACACCCAGGCTCGGAATGATTGGAAGGGACGCTGTCTCAGAATGAGGGAACCATGGTTTGATACAGTTTCTTTGCTGATACATTGAGGGCTTGACAGAGCTACGGCAAAGATATGCCCAACAGCTTCGCATTCTGAATGACTGGAGCAAGCTCACCTGACGCCCTGAAGAAATCAAAGCTGGACCGCCTGATGTGGGTCAAAACCATTCAAAACCCAACACCCATCAACCCCCCAAACCGATGGCCAGGTGAACATGCAAGCATCCATTCCATTTGGACCTTCAGCCACCTCGTTACGCCTACCTCGTTTTCTCCAGCACATCACTTCACCTTCGAAGAAGTTCCCACGACATGCCACGAGATCTGTGGGTTGGCTCCACCAGAACCGGATCGAGTCTCGGATCGATTCTCGGAGGATTGGAGTTGGCGAGGGATTTGAGTCTCGGTCAGCTTGAATAGGTGGATGGTTGATCAATGAAGGTCCCCTTTTTTTGAGGCTTGAAGCACCGGTGGATCACCATATTGGAGAAGTCTTTATATTTGTATATTATATAATATACATGTACATTCATCCAAATTGGGGCGGGTTGACTCTTGATCAAACCAAGAGTCAACAAGTGAATCAGCAGTATTTGGTGGTCACGGAAGGTGATCACCGGTGCTTTTGCGGGCCACTCGGCTTGGTGGCAGCCACTCGGCTTGGACACCGTGCCACCGTCTTCCGGTGCGGACTCCGTGCCGCAGCGCAGCGAACTCAGCGCGCCGAGGCTCTATGAGGTTATTCATCACACCTTCCGCAGCTGCGAGGTCACGTGCCGCACCATGATGCACGTGCCTTGGTCTGGAAGAAGGCGGATTCCGCGAGAAGGCCGAATGGGGCACTCAGATCACTCAATACCACCCCGTTTGAAGATGCAAAACAAGCTTTGGAATATCACCCCAAACGTCTCATCCAGTTTATTTATTTAATGATTTTGCAATATTTTGCATGGATAACAAGAGCATAGCTAGTTACTAGTAGCTCCTGGCATTACTACCAGGAACAAGAAGCTACTAGTAGCTCCTGGCCTTACGACTAGGAGCAAGAAGCTACTAGGAGGTTAAACACCCCAAACATCTGTCGGATCTTTTTCCACTCCGTTCGTTGAGGTGAGCTTTTGTGTGATCACCAAGCGCTTGGTGAACTGGTGGTGCCACCGGGCCATGCACGTGGGGATGGGACGGTACCATGAGGACAGGGGGTTGGAGTGAACACTCATGAACACTCTATGGTTGAGCCAACATAACAAAACCAAACTAGGGACCCTGAAGGTGTTACAAAACATACTGTATATAGTTGTATATATATATATATACAGTATTATACATCATATATATATATTGCTATTATATAGTATTTTTTTAAGTATATAATAATATATATTATAATATAAATATATATATATATGAATATTAGTTTTCCCTGACATGGCAGTGACGAGCTGATCCGCTCACAGCGGTCCGGGGAGTTGGACCATCATCAACTAACCGAACCAAGCAAACAGACTAGACCTGATTGGTGCCGAACTCCTCATGACTTTGAATCCAACAACTTGGAACTTTCTCTTACTGGCGGTGCCCCTTCGTCTCCAGGTGGTGCCCCTTCGTCTTCATGAACCTCGTGCTCCCCAATCTGATGGCCGCTCGTTTGGGGCGCTTTACCGGAGCTGTTGCGAGTCATTGAGCGGGTGGCCCACAGCAGTAGCAACCAGTGTTGGTGCGCAGAATCAAGGAAGGTCGAAGAACTGCTTCCAAGATGTGACGTTTGAGGTCCAGAACAACCCATCTCCAAGCATCGACTTCTCTACCAGAAGGTTCGAGGTCGAAGGTCTATGACAGTGGTGGTTTCAACTTGGAGCTTCCTGGGCCTGAAATCTTGATCAATCAATGCCTTCGGTACAACGTTAATGCATAATCTTGGTACCAGGAACATCCAAGGGGTGCCCATTGGGCACCCCTTAGCACCAAAACTCATTGGGCACTCCTTAGGATTTTGTTTTTTTTTCATGTGGGTAGGAACCAATTCACAGGGTGAGTCAAGATTTTGTGGTTTTTCCATGTGGAACCAAACCAATTCACAGCATACCACCAGTCGCGGCTGTTCGAAGCGTCCCTCAACCTCCTGCGGCGGTTCTGCAGCCGCCTCACGGGGAATCGAGCGCGGCGCTCAGGGTGTGAGGTGAACACATGTGGTATACCCATGGTTCGCAACCTGTAGGGCAGTTGAATGACCCCAGCAGTTCACATCCCTTACAAAGGAGAAATCTCCCATGGGGAGATCTTGGGATTGAGGTATGGTATGTTCAAAGGGCCGTGTCCATTGGGCATCCCTTATCAAGCATGTAAACCCTTCGGACAGTGGAGCCATGGCAAAGAGAAGGAAGAGCTCAAGTCCGATCTCAGGGAAATTTGTCTGCACATCAGGTCTTTGGATATACTGGAAAGTGGCTATTTTCAGTCGAGCTGGTGTGATAAGGAAACTCGTCAACGCTATGATTAGAAGATTGGACCCACAGTATGTCCTCGAGCATGATGAACTGCTACCTGGCGGGGACATCAGGATTAAAGCAAATTGTGGGTTCGTTCTGCCTTCACGGATGCCAAGTACCAGTATATCAAAGGATGGCTTACCTCCTTTGAATTTTGAGGACCGATATATGCCAAGTCACCGTATCTACAAAAGTGGTCCATCAATTAAGCAAAGCCACCATCCCCTGTCCTAAATGTACTTACTACACGGTTCGACCATCCAATATGTCATCCACAACTGAGGAATCTCCATCATTGGATGTTCTAGGGTCATGGTTCCAATTTAGCTGTGGCCTGTAGGGCCTCTGTAATCCCTTCTGAGTGGCCGTTCAACAATCGCCCGCTCGATATTATCTTGGGATATGCCTTTTGCCACCCAATGGGTGTCCTATAATGGCGGTGCATTGGAGACCCAATTCTGATCTTGGAGAGGGGTCACATCAAATTAAACATACAAAGTGGTTTTGAGGCTTGGGACCAACCCGAGTTGGGGGCCAGGATCGACCAACGCTGGCGATCTGAAAAGGTCGGCCTCTTCTCTGGAAGATGGCAAGAACCTGTGGGATGCTGGAATCGGGGCGTGTCAAACCGTGTCGGCAAGTGTTTCCCGATAGTGTTAGGGGTGTGCATTGGGCGCCCCTTATCAAAATCCGGATATACCCACCATCGTGTCATTTCGTGTCACGATGTTGACCTACTGCTGTCCGTGTGCTATATGTGGTGTTTATCTCGGCAAATCATTCCTCGAATGGTTTGCTCCGATGTCGGGATTTTGATCTGGCCTGATGAGACTATTTCTGACTACAAATCCATTCCGATGTCGGGATTCTGTTGCCCAATCCGATGTCGGTATACCATGTGCTGTAGTGATTCTCTCGGAGAGGGTCACACACCAGATGGATCATATGCGACGACTCGGGTCCGATGGGTGCAGGCTCCCTGTTGGAAAATAGATCATGTTCCCATTCCGATATCGGTACATGGAACTTTAGAACGAACTGGAAAATTAATGCAACGGATCGACGCACTCAACCCAGATCTGATGGGCGCATGTTCCCATTCTGATATCGGTTCCGGTAACACTCAACCCAGGTCTGATGGCAATGCGCGCATGTTCCCATTCCGATATCGGTTCCGATATTGGTACCATGGTGCCTTAGAAATGCTGCAAGTATTGGAAAATTAACGCAGCAATGAATGGAAAACAGTCAACCCAGATCTGATGGGCGCGTGTTCCCATTCCGATATCGGTTCCGATATCGCCTGGTACCTTATAGACATGCTCTAAGTATTGGAAAATTAACGCAATGGATCGAAACACTCAGCCCAGATCTGATGGGTGCATGATATAGGTTCAGATATTGGTACCTAGTATTCCGATATCGGTATAGGTAAATCATAAGTGTCATTGTATTGTAAAAATCATGACCTGGATTCGAATGGGTGCACTTTCCCATTCCGATATCGGTACAGAAAGAAACATGCACATGCGCCTCGGACTCGATGGTTCCCAATGGATATCGACCAACCCACCGGCCGATGTATCGAATGACCCAGTCCGAGACCTTCGCCTGATGATCAAAGGCTTTGAAGTTCCTGGGGATGCCTATCCTGTTCTTCAGCAAAACTTGATTGTTTCCAGCAACTGCAGTAAGGTCTCTTCCACTCCCTTTTCCTGAGACTCACCGCATCGTCGAACTGGTGTGGTTGGGATTGAATGCAGGTGCCCCACGCCCCGAGAAGCCAATTAATTTGTTCTACCAAAGCCAGTGGACCCAAGCCACCAAAATGTGTTCTGCCAAAGTCAGTGGACCGCAATTACCGCAAATACAAATCCCACTGATACCACCAGCACCATCCAAAGGGTGCCCAATCAGTTTTGGGTTTACCTCCTTCGTAAGGGGCGCCGAATGGACAAAAGTTCTTGATATCAAAAGTCTCTTTCCACGAGATCCCAACGTCGTCGAACGGATCGAGTTGGTTTTAATTGGTTTTAAAATAGGTCATGTTCATCATCGCGCACGCACATGAACGAGATAGGACGCCGATATTATAACATATCACACATTGCAAGGGGTTCACCTGATCCCTTTCCCGGGATGTGGCTTTCCAACCCCATGCGCTCCGCACCATAACCATCCTTGTTAAGGGCTTTCTCCCAATAGGATTTAATATTTTAAGGGTGGAGATGGGTGAACCCTTTTGGATGGTCCTGGCTCCCTCGCCTGAAACTCCGGTGGCAGCTGGGCAGTCAAAGCTGCCTGACAATCTGAGTGGCTCAAGATCTCGCGGTCTTAGATCTTGGAAACGATGCCACCACCATCAAGCGAGGAGGCACAGCTCAATCAACCATCCGAAGATCTGGCAGGTGAGGATCTTGAAAAGCCACTCCATGCCGACTTCTTACCAGAAGGACCATGAGAAAATCTTCACCACTATGGCAGAGCAATCGTCTCGAGACCCTGAAGGTTAGGGACGGGTTGGCGTTGTTCTTCGAACTGATGCTGATCAGAAGGCATCACAGTATTTTTTTAAACACTATTCGGGTTTCCAATGTTTTGGTGTGTTAGATCGCCATCCTGTTGCTGTTGTCTATCCTGTTCAGGTGGAGGAACAAGAAAGGAGACAAAGAGGTAAAGAAAGATAAGAAGAATGGTAAAGAGAAGCCTGAGGAGAGCAACGCAAAGAAGAAGAAAGAGGCAGAGAATCCGAAAGAAAAGGAAAGTTCCGAACAAAAGACAACAGAGGCTGAGAAGAAGCATGAGGAAAGGAAAGCAAAAAAGAAGGAAAAGAAGGAGAAGACTGAGGAAGCGAAGAAGTCAGAAAAGAAGGCAAGCTACTTTGGAAGTTGAGGCCGAAGTTGCACCGATTGGGCTTCACAAAAGTTTTATATCCCCAAACACGGATGGTATGAGGATGGCGCAACTCATGTACACCTGCCCTCTGCCAGCAGCCCCCCAACCGGCTGGTGGAGCCTGAGCCTGATCTTGGCCTGCTCTAAGAAACAGGCGCAAAGGCGGCGCAGCCCGCCGCAGCGGGATGGATGTTCGACGGACGACGTTTTCGATGGGAACCTGGAGAGATGATGGTATGTTCAAATTGGGCACCCCTTATCAAGCATGTAAACCCAAGACTCATTGGGCACCCGTCGGATGGTGCTGGTAACAAGAAGTTTTACAGTCCAACTGGGTGGATTTATAAATCAAGACTATACATTCTTGCGGTTGTGGTTGGAGAGAACGGACACTGCTAGGCACTTGACTTCCATTCGATTCAATGGGTGCACCCGAAGCGATCGAAGATGAGAAACTCTCACCGAACAGAGGTTTGCCATCACACAGCTGCACCACCCCACGCGGCATCAACCCCATCTCCAGAAGGGCTTCACCTCGCCAGACGCCCGCGGCAAGCGGGGTCTGGGTGGAACGGAGGTATTGGTGTATGGTGGGGACGAGAGCTCACGCTTGGTGCGCTTCGTGTGTTGCCCGGAGCTCCCAGAGGATTTGTGCGGGTGGTCGCTGTGGGATGGGATGCGTCAACAGTCGATGTTTCGGTGAAAAAGATTCGATCCATCTCGATTCCCAAGAAGTCCCGCCTTGTGGCCACAAAAATCCGGGGATCCACTGCCCGCCTCAGACAAATGGTTTAACTCAGGTGGGTTGGGGATCCAACGACCTTCCGAGAAAGGTGTGTGGATCATCGTGGATCCATTGTCAGTGCAAGGTCATGAAGATTCAATACGTGCAAACGCGTCTTACTTGATGTACTCAATTAATATATTGTACCGTAGCGGCATCCACCAAGTTAAGCATGGATTGGAAAGGGTATATTTGTTCAAAGACTACTCTAGCAGGACCTGAGTTCCAAACTGCGCCGACTTGGGCGAACGGATCCCTTGGAAAAAACCATCCGCCAGGACTCTCGTGGACTCGGTTGACGGGAGTACTCCCCGGTCACCCCAAACTGCGTTCTTCTCGGTCTTCGGAACGGTCCGTAGCGATGCCCTTTGTAATAGCTTCTTGCTCCTAGTAGTAAGGCCAGGAACCCCTAATAGGTTCTTGTTACTAGTAGTAAAAATGCTCCTAGTAGCGATGCCAGGAGCCCCTAGTAGCGATGCCCTTTGCTCCTAGTAGCTTCTTGCTCCGTAGTAAGGCCCTCTAGGGCGGACTGGGAGTGGACGTCCAAATCGCTGACCCTCAAGTTGGTCACATCCAGATCTGTGTCCCAAAGCGACCAGGAGACGGCGGACGTTTCTTTTGTCTTGTTTCTTGTTGGAGAAAAAGCGGGACCTGCAGTGCATTAAAAAAGGGACTCTACTAGTTCCACTTACTACAACTCTTGGAGGGTCCAGGTACATGAACAAACCAGCCGCTTCCAAGACACCAGAGGTGACTCCTCCAAGTCTCATGGCCCACGTGACCGATGTGGGCCATCAGACTGTCTTGACTCCCCAAAGAGGTTGACCCTTGTCTTCAGCAGGAAAAAGGGCAATACTTTTAGTGGTTGTTATGAAGTGTCACTCGCATGTCTATGTCTGATGGCGCTTAGAAATGCATCAAGGCCTACCTTGCGCTTGGGTGAATATCTTCATGTTTGTGGACTCACCCTACAAGCGCCGCGCTGCCCGGATCATCAGCTTTTGGTGTCTTGCCTGTTGATTATTGCGGCGCAATCGTGCCCGGTCGATTTGAGGGATTCAGGGACGGGTGCGGTGTAGCATGTTGGCGTTGGCAGAGTTTTTTTCTACTTTTGAAGCTGGCAGAGTTTTGGGAAGGTTTACAGCTCCAAGGTTTTGGGAATGTTCACCAATCCCAAGCTCATCCAGAGAATCCACGAAGGTATGACATCCGGTTCGCATTGGAGATCTTCCTACTTCCGGCGTTGGCTTGTGCTGCAGCTGTCTGGGCACCTGGGACGGCATAACTGGACTGTTTGCATTGACCAGTGATCTCGCATCTCACCAAAATGGAAAACAAAAACAACAACATCCTACTTTGTTTGAAAAATATGTTTACCTTCCCAAATGAAGGATCATTTTGACCGTGAGGCTTCAAGCCTTGACCCCCATCTTGGATGGAAACGCATCCCCTGTAGTTCGCATGTGTTGGGAGAAGGTGGACTGGAAACTGGAAGCCACACGGATGGCGTCGACTTTTTCCGACAACTAATGCCTCATGCCACACGCCCACCTAGGTATGACGGCCTAAGGGTTCAGGCACGTTAAAGCAAGAAAGTATGCAAATTCTCAACGCCTCCAAAGGTCTCCAAATCCCGTGAACTCAAATTGTCAAACCACGAGAAACGAAAGGCGGCGACAAGATGACGCCGTTCGTGCACATCTGCAGAACTCGTTAGCACATTACATCACCTGGTGAACCTGGAAACAGTCTAAGCAAGGGAGGACCAGTGGAGTCAATGCGTTCAAAGCAGGTATTGCAGATCCTTGTGCTTCGACCGTTCTGTCGTGACTGAGGTGTTGCTTTGGCTTTGGCTCATGCGAAACAGCATGAGAAGAGTTTCCATGCAAGCTTCGTTGTCGGATAGAACAACGCAGTTGTGAAGGTAACACGTTAGCAGCGTTGGGCTAGGTGCAGAATCATGACCCTTGGCCTCTCACTTGTTCCGTTCTCGCTCCTGCTTGTTCGTTGCTCCTACAAACTTGGACTGTGGCTTTTCAATCTACTTCGCCCCCAACCCTACCCCACCATACAGTACATGTACATGTTGCAAATTGCTCCTTGTGCGTTCCAAAAGTACCTGGTGCCCCGTGACGACGGCAACTACTGGCTAGCTTGAGAACGCCAGATAACAAATTGAAATTGCCCGTGTTTTTCTTTCCGGGTAAGCCAGATCAAACTGAGACCATCTGACATCTGATACCGCTAATTTCTTGTTTTGCTGAAAAGCCACTGGGCGACAGTCAGGTACATGGTTTCCAAGGAGATACTTTGTCTATGATCCTCCTTCATCCTTTTCAACTTCATCCAGGTTTGTGTGGCTTTGGGCGCCTTGACAGCCGACGAAAGGGCCTAGGGCAGGTGGGCAATTGGAGAATCCCCGTGTGCACCGAGAAAGACCTAGACCGACTCACCCAATCAACTGAGCTATAGACCGACCCACATAGAGAGCAGAAATCCGGGATGCTGATGTTCACCAACATGTCGCATCAGAGTAAATATATATTACAGTATATAATATATATATATATATTCAGTTTTGACTTGGATAAACTTTGGATATGCCCCCCACCAGAGATTTTAGTCCAAAAGTTGTTTCAATGTGGTTTAGATTTCTAGCACGTGTTCTTCCACCAAACTTGACTGTTTTAACCACAGACCCGGTCGTTTTGGTTGCTAAGGATTTTCTGTATTCTGATGTACCTGACCCTGCGGATGTATGTGCGGGTCTCTGTGTCAAGGCAGGAGTCCTGACCCGGGACCTGGCCCGGCTCAGCTGGACGTTTCGCATTTGTGCGGTCCCAGTGGACCCGAGTTCTTGGCCCCGTCAGATGAACATAGCTTTGGGGCGATGCGAAGGGATGGGGGTGAACTCACGGTCTACCCAAACCTGGAGAAGAAGCGGAATCGTTTGTTCTAGGGGGGTCTTGGCAGGACAGCAGAATCCGAATTGCGAACTTCATCTTTTTTAAGTGTCTAAGATTGAGCAGATCATGCTCGCTTCAGCGTGCTTCTGGTTCATACACCGCGCCACCTTGTCGCATGGGGGCAAAAGGACTGCAGCTTGATGATACCCTCCAACATATTCATACTCTCTGGTCCAGAGTCATATGACTCATATGACTTTTTGGCCATTTTGTAGTCTCAGATCTCGCTGGAGTTGCAGGGGTTGTTTTGTTTTTCACCGAAGGGAGGCCAATCTCTCACCTGACAAATTGGAGGGTGGAACTCTCATCACAGATTCATAGTGGCTTTGCAGTGTCCGTTTTCGCCCTAAATTTCGAGGCAGATGGATGCCATCGATATCTACACTCCCTGTGAGCAGGGTCAGAAGGATGGGAGCAGTGCTGGGGGTGGTCTGCCGCAGTGCTAGGGAATGCCAGCCTCCCAGCTCGAGCAGCTGCAGCAAAGATCCGGTGAGGGCACGAAGTTTCAGCAAACTTATGACTTGAAAATACTTCAAAGAATGACACGGAGTGTACACTCCGACTCACCAACATGGAAGCGGAAACCACCCTGTTTGTAGACTTCCCAAAGGCCATGCCATCCACTTCCATGTTAGTGAACCAAACGGAGGTTACAGTAATTAGTAATTTCGTTTGTGATCATCAGTAAGGGTTCTTTTAACAAATCACACAGGTGAGCATACCGAGTTGAATCCATTCCTGCAAGGGTGGCCACGTTCATACGGGGGAAGCACCGAAAAAGCATGCTTCGTGTTGTCCAATGATCAGGATCTTATTTCAGATTGGTGAAGCCTTCTGCATGGCTGACCCACTAGGTTGGATTAAGCACGCCTGAACAGCTTTGAAAAGGCCTCATATTCCAATCTCGCGCCCACAAAACCCCACAAACCCAAGAGTAGAGCTGTCGGCCCCGGAGGCCGGAACAGGTGGAACCCATGGAACTCGCCCGGGACTCGCCCGAACGGAGGCTTTGCCTCGACCCTCACTCGAGACGCTCGGTCGCCCGAAGGAGGTGGTCCAGGAGGTCATGGTCACCTTGGGCGCAGAGGTGCCGCCGTCGCCTTGGTGCCGCCGTCGCCGTGAACGGCCCCGTTTAGATTGAACCTTTTTGCTTCTGAATCATCACTATAGCATCACCTACTTGGCACTCCCGAAATCCTTTCAGCTGACTCCTTCCAGCAGCTCCCTGATCCAACTCCTTCCAGCTCCTTGCTGTCGGCTCCCCTCACCCGCGCCGCTTCGTGTAGCTCACCAGGTGCGAGAGCTCACGAGGAGTGCCTCTGCCGACATCGATCTCAACAGGTGCGGACGGCGACATCGATACGCCGCGTCAGCGGCTCGCCCGTTGTTTGTTTGGGCGCGCAACAGCTGTTTGGGGCTGTTGGATGCTACGTAGGTAGATGAATAGGGGAAAAATGGAATGGACATGGACATATGTGACGTATTCTTCTTTTATCCTTCTCTCTCTCTATTAATCTCTATTAATTATAGATGGACACACCCCTGGATGTAGACGCATGCCGGTCACCACTTTGATCCGACGTGCCTTCCTCCCCAGGGCAGATGTGGATGGCCTCACGCCTTTAATGATGGCTTGCCGAAGGGGGCACACGGAGGTGTGCGAGTTCCTTGGCACAGCTTGGCACCCACCGAGGTTTTGTGGATCACCGAGGTTTTTTGGTCACCGTTATGAGCTTTTTTTTGGGGGGGGGGACACCAAAAACGAAGAGAAGAGGTGACAAGTTTGGTGAATGTCCAACAACGGGTGAAGAGTATCACTGTCACCAACAGTAAACCTGTTGTTGATTGAGATTCCTCCCAGGTTCTGCAACATTGGGGATGCTCATGAATCACAAAAAGGTTGGAACATGTTGGAACATGTGTTGGATGAGACATCAAGAAGCATGAAAGGCACAGGTCAATTTTGTTTCACTCAAGAGTTGTTGACGATTGACAGAGAAGATGGGTGGATCATGGTGGATCACCCAGCCTCCTCTGTTCCAACGTGTACTCCATTAAAGCGTGGGTCACTTGGTGGCCAGTCGTCGCGAGAGAATCCACGTTGGGCCTCGTTTCCTGGAGAATTCCTGGTTTTCGGCGTCCCGGTGGCGTCCCGGTGGCTCCAAGTCTCTTGGGGTCTTTCTGCTCCACGCGACACGAAGCGGTCTTTCCCCAAGCTCGGATCTGAACAAATGTAAACATTTCCGCCTGAGATCTTGGGATTTTTCCACAATGCCTGGGACTGGCATCATTTCCATGACATCGCTGGCGGCTTTGATTTATTGGCCAGGAGCGCCCCTAGTAGCGTGCCAAACCGGCGATGCTGACCATGGAAACGAATCATTTCGGGTGCGCACAAGTTTGCAAATCACCTCTCGCGCAGCACAATTGTCGGCAATTACTACTAGAAACAAGAAGCTACTGGGGGCTCCTGGCCTTACTACTAGGAGCAAGGACGCTACGAACGGGGCTCCTGGCATCGCTACTAGAAACAAGAACGCTACTGTTTTTAGTTCAGTGGTTCAATCGATACGATCCTCCCATCGTCCTCGTCGGACCGTCCGTTTGACCATCGGCGCCGGTCGACGAGGGGCGGCCACCGAAGCCGTCGAAACGAGAAGCGTCGGGGCGAAACGTAGGCTCCTGGTGCAGCGGGGCGCCTTTGTAAGCATCGTGCACAAGGCGGGGGAAGAGAGCGCTTTTCTCTTTGGAGCTCGGGTTTTTATAAGTGACCGGCATGGTCCGGGATCTTTGGTTGGTTGGATTTCTGGGCCTTTTTTTTTGTGGGGGGTTGGCGGTTGGCGAAGTTTCATCTCCGCACATAGATCGTTCACGTGTAATGAACTCTATGTTCGCCGCAATGTTCTGTTGGGTGATTCACTAATACAATTATATCATATCACTGGAGTTGTATGGAGTTGTGTAATTTCTTGGGTGCTATGCATAGCCCACTACCCCTGCAGGCAGTAGGGGAGGAGCATTTCTCCGGGTGTCTGGAGTGCCCTTTGTTCCTACGTAGTAGCGTTCTTGTTACTAGTAGTAAGGCCAGGAGCCCCTAGTAGCTTCTTGTTACTACTAGTAAGGCACTTGTTACTAGTAGCGTGGCACTTGTTACTAATAGCGTTCTTG